GGGGGGGGGGGGGGGGGGGGGGGGGGGGGGGGGGGGGGGGGGGGGAGTGATCTTACTGGCTGCTGATGTTTAAGAGGTCGACATGGCAGGCAGACAGTGGGAAGAGCAACGAGGCAGACACCTTCCCTGAGGATAAACAGATGGAGGGGTCACACAGGTGCAGTTTGCACACAGACAGTGATGCACACACCTGTGCACACACAGTTTTTGTTGAGATGCTGAAGTATATATGCCCCACGGAACACAGACAGAACACAGTCTCAAAGGTTCCCCGAGATCAACAGGCTAGGTGTCTCCTTCCGAACCTGTGAAATCAGTGTCCATTGTGGTATAAAATCAGGGCCAAAAACCTGAGTTGTGAGCAGGAGAGCAAGGTGGAAGGGCCCTGCCCTAAATACACACACACACACACACACACACACACACACCCTGAATACACACATGTACACACACACTGAATACAAACACGCTCACACACACATACTGAATACACACACTCTCACACACACCCTGAATACACACACACAGACACACACACACAAACACACACACACACACACACACACACACACGCAAGCGCGCGACTGAAGCAGGGCTCCCCCTGGTGGTACTAAGAAGGCAGACCACCGGCCGAAAGCTGGCACATGCCTGGCACTGACTCATCCCTCCGTCACAGTGATTGAAGGGAGGGGCTCTGGGGCAAACTTCCATGATACAGCTGAGAAAAATACCAGCCCCATGAAGGATTTCTGTCTGTGTTGGTCAGGATTCTCTAGAAGAACAGAACTGATAGAGTGAACGTATATATAAAAAGCATCTATTCGTTTGCTTACACATAATATGGTCTGGTAGTCCAACAATGGCTGTCTTCATTCTGGAGAATCGGCTCCTCGGTCTACAAGGCCACTTCCCCAGCTGTCCCAGTCTGGGGCTAGAGTCCTGGAGGATTCCCAGGGAACCTCGGCTCTTCAGTCCATGACAGACACCCACAAAAGCTGGGCAGTGCCATCGGTGACAGCACGCCGCAGCAACAGAATAGACAAACTGGCCAACGAGACTGACTGCAGCAAGCAGACGAAAAGATTTTCTTCTTCCACCTCCTTTGTCTGGGCTGCCTCCAGAAGACACTGCCCACACTGAGTGTGCAAGAGAACTGGAATGTTGGAAACCCCTGCCCCCAGCATCTGTAGGAGTCAACCAACATCTGGGAGCAGGCAGGGCCTGCCTCCTGCTCCCCCGCATGTACACATCACACACACACACACACACACACACACACACACACCACACACAGAGCACATCACACCACTGTCATGAGCACAGACTTCCCAACCTGGTTCTTTTGTAAACATTCTCCTTGTACCTGAACTCGCTGTCCCAAACTGTGCCCCAAACCCCAGGAGGATTGAGAAGGTACATTCAGGATGGGTAACATGAGAAGTTGACCAAAGAGTCCATACGCAGAGGTGTAGAGAGCATGTAGGCTCAGGTTGGGGGACGATACCTGGCTGCCTTAGGCTTGCATGACCCACACTCCCTGTCCTCCTCCCCTCAGACAGTGGTGCTGTGGGTGAAAGGTGGGGACTCTGAACCCTAGAGCCTCCAGAGTAAGGAGCTGGAGCACCAGTGCACCATCTTCACTCCCTCCATCCCCTGATTGTACCCCTGGCCAGACCCACAGGGAGGCCAGATGGCAGAGCCCAAGGAGTGGTCCTAAGGGGGCTGCTAGGCCCACGGCAGTAGAAAACGGGAGGTTGTCTGGAGTAGGATCCAGTGGAACCCACACTGGAGTGCCCTCCCGGGAGCATCCAGATATACAGAACACTTCAGTTGCTAAGTCCCCTGGGCAGTAAAGCACCTGGTGGCCACATGTGGGGCTAAGAGAGGAGACACACTTTGCTTTTATCTTAAAAACAGAGGCTGTCTGGGTCACATTGCCCAGATACTTAAGGCAAAGTCACCGAGGGCACTGAACTTGTCTCCAGGGCCACTGAGTCCAAGGCCCCAACATCTCCTAGTAATGTCACTATCCCGATGAACTTCACATGGCCGCAGCATCTCCAGCCCCCAGACAGAAGAGGCCTCTCTGACCTTCTCCTGGACAGCCAACCTGCAACTAACAGACCCCTCAATAATGCTTAACATAGCCTTAAAACTAGTTCAGACATAGCCTCAGACAGTTGGATGTTGCCTCTAGAGGCCTGGTAGGGTCTCTCTGAAAGGCTGGCTATGGGGTATTTCTTCTCTTTCCCAATCTCCACTTCTTGGAGAAGCAGACTTAGTTCTTGTGAGTTTCTAATCCTGGCCTTGGCTTTAGAAGTTTCCAGTAAGACTCTTCCAGCATCATCTGGGTGCCTTACGATACTCTCCCCCGTCCCCTGCAACGGTCTACGTTGGTCCTGCATGCCATTGCCGAACTGGGAGATTGGCTTCTGAACCTGGGAGACAACTGGCTTCTGAAACTAGATGACTATGCTGTGTCCAGAATCTTCTTGGTTAGGAGTGTCTAACCGTTGAGTGGGACATATCTGAGGTACACCCATACACATGCAAGCACCCAAATAAATGCATGCACCCCAGCTTCCTACACACCTCCCAGGCAGGACTGTCCTGGACCAAGTGTGAAGGCCTGACAGGATAAAATATCTGACAGAAACGGTACTGAGTGAAGGAAAGTTCTGTTTGGACTCACAGCCTCTGAGTGGGGTTCACTCTACAATGGCAGGGAAGTTCTGTTTGGACTCACAGTCTCCGAGTGAGGTTCAGTCTACAATGGCAGGGAAGGCTGGCAGTGAGAGCACATGACAAGTCTCCTCACACTGTCAGAGACAGGAAGCAGAGGGTGACTCAGAACCAGGGGTTCTCGTGACCTTCAAGAGGCCCGCCCCTAGTGACCCATCTCTACCAGACAATCCCCACCCCCAACAGTTTCATGGCATACCAAAAAAGCTCCATCTCTTTGGACCAAGTGCTTAGAACAAACTTGTGGGGACAGTTCAGACTGAAGGGGCAATGCCATCTTTAATAGGCACCAAGCTCCTTACATGAGACCTCTGGGTGAGGTGGGATTCCCTGCTGTATGTTGTAAATATGTTTTATTACCATTGGTTAATAAAGAAGCTACTTTTGGCCTATGGCATGGCAGAATAAAGCCAGGTAGGAAATCCAAACAGAGAAAGAGAGAGAGAGAGAGAGAGAGAGAGAGAGAGAGAGAGAGAGAGTAGGTGGAGTCAGGAAGATGCCATGTAGCTCCTGAAGGAGAGAATCTAACAGCCTTGTAGCAATATGCAAATCAATAGAAATGGGTTAATTTACGATGCAAGAGCTAGCTAGAAATACACCTGAGCCATTGGCCAAGACATATTGTAATTGATAGAGTTTTTGTGTGATTATTCAGGCCTGGGTGGCCGGGAAATGAATGCACAGTCTCTCTACATCCGGGGACACAGTCAAACCATTGTCTTTGCATTTGATGCTAGTCGGCAAGTCTTTGTGACCAGTTGAGTAGCATCTCCCATGTCTTCACAGCCTGGAAGCTTCCTGAATGTAGACACTGCAGCTGCACTCACCATTCAGGGTGGCCTTAGCACTTGTATGTCCAGAAAAGGCCCGAGACTCCACCTTGCATCCTCATGGATGATGTAATTTTTTTCCTTCTAATTAATTGGTTTTTTTTATGTGTGCATCTATGTAGCACTTGTGTGTCTGATGTCTTGAAAGCCAAAAGAGGATGTGAGATCCTGTTGAAATAGGAGCGGCGGTGGGGCTGATTCCCCAGCACCCCGGCTGCCTGCTAGCTTATGCCCCGAAATAACAACACACAAACTGTATTCATTTAAGCACTGCTTGGCCAATTTCTATCTAGCCTCTTCTAGGCTAATTCTTGCACCTGGACTAGCCCATTTCTAATAATGTGTGTAAGCACCCCAAGGTGCGCTTACCGGGAAGATTCTAGCCTACATCCATCCTGGGTCGGAGCTGCCTGGGAGAGCAGAGCCTGGCGTCTCTGCTCCAGAGAGCAGAGCTGTTGAGACTACCCGGGAGAGCTGAGCATGGCGTCTCTGCTCCAGAGAGCAGAGCTGTCGGGTCTGAGCTCACTTCCTCTTCCTCCCAGCATCCTATTCTGTTTATTCCTCCCACCTATGTTTTAACCTATCAGGGCCAAGGAGTTTCTTTATTGCTTAACCAATGAAATCAACAGATTGATATGACACTCCCACATCAAGATCCCCTGGAACTGGAGTTACAGATGGTTGTGAACTCCCATGTAGGGGCTGGGAACTTAACCCAGGTCTGGCAGAGCAGCCACGTTCTTTACCACTCGAGCCATTTCTCCAGCCCAGAAATGTGTGTTTTGGTCATCACGACTAATGATGTCTTCTCTGCTCCCCAGGAAGAACCTCACCTCTCTGCATCCTAAATACAAATGTACCCTCCTTGGAAGCGGCCCATGCCCCTCTCTATGCATGAGGACCCCATGTACACCACAGCCTCTTTGGGGTGAGTCAAGGGACCTTCGCCTGACTGTCAGGTGCTCTAGGACTCTGGGTGGCGGGAGGGCTGCATCCTGGCCTGGATGGTGGTAGAAGGGATGCTTCATGTTTGACCTGAAGATCAAAGCTTCAATCTTCATCCCCATGGACTTGTCAGGAGAAGCAGGAGTGGGTATTTGTGGGACTAGGGGAGGGCACAAGGGCACATCACTGCAGGTGAGCTGTCCAAAAAAAAAAAAAAAAAGGTAAAAGAACCAAACTGTGTCCAGGAGGAGGAGGCATACACCTTTCATCCCAGCACTTGTAAGGCATCGGCAGGTGACTCTCTGAGAGTTTGAGACCAGCCTGTTCTACAAAGCGAGTTCCAGGACAGCCAGAGCTGTTGTTCCCTGTCCAAAAAATTAAAAAAAAATTCAAACTTTGGCATCAGTATCCAACAAATCAGAGAAGCCCAAGTTGGGAAGACAGGGTCATTGTGGAATTGATGTCTGCTGGAAGACAGGACACTAAAGGAAGCTTTGGGGAAACTGAGCCAGAGCACAGCCAGGAGACAGGTCTCCATCTTGATGGACCAGTATGGGCAGAACAGCAGAGGGCCCAAGCCTGCCCATCCTATGGCAGATGCTGCAGAGATGTCCACACCAGCGGTACACTAAGAATGTCCCAACAGTTCGCAATACTCTCTGACCAGGCAGCTCCTGACAGTCCCCGGTTTCCTCCGAGTGCTGGCCCACAGCCTGAATACTGAATGGCTGAGATGGTATGTTTGAATCTCTAGTGGGTGAACAGCTCCCCCAAGCTGCTGCTAAGAACTTGGGCCCTCCACGTCCACAGAAATAGGGCTCAGGGCTGGAATGAGGACACCCGGAAGATTCCCAAAGAAGCTGCCCATTCCATAGGTCAGAATGCAGGACAGCCTGTGGGTGGCAGCCTCTCTCTGTGATGCCTGGGCTCAGCTGGAAGAGGCTGAGCCATGGGAGCAGAAACGGCATACACAGGCTGCACTGGGGTTGGCAACTCCACTCGCAAGGTGCTTCCAAGTGTCCGTGCCCTAAGTGTCTGGCTTCCCACGGCCAGCACTCTGGAAGGCCAGGAAGGAAGGTGGGGCGATGTAGTTGATGACCTCACCTTGGAGCTCACACGCCATTACTACCCTTGGAGGTCAGCAGCTAGTCATTAAGTCCAGCCACATCCATGGGGAAAAGAATGAGACTCCACCTCCCAGAGGGAGCCATATCAGAGCATTTTTTGTAGCAAAGCATCTTTCCAGAGCCTTCCATACGTCTTCCCCATTGGCCCCTCCATGACAGCCTCGGGGCAACAGCGGAGACCCTTGTTCACACGCATCTCTAACATCGGCCACACAACCCCTTTTCTGTCTGGGATCACCCTCCAAACTTTAACCCCATAACCCCAAACGGATGAGATGGGTCACTGATCTAGCCTTGGCTGCTTTGCACTCCCCCATCCTCAGGACTTTTAAACTCCTCTGGGACCAGCTCCAGGACTCCAGATGCTGGTGATGGAAGTCATGGTGATTGTGATAATGGCGGTGGTGATGGTGCTGGTGAGGAAGGTGGAATGCTGAGGCTGAGCCCTCCTGAAATCACCACTTAGCCAATACTCATCACACAGATGACCACTGGACTCTTTATCCCCATGGGAGCTACAGGGACTCCAGGCACCTCAGGCTCCAAACTTTATCACCCATGAGTCACAGGTCTCAGCCTGGCTCTATGGTGGCCCCAGTCCAGAAGAAGACACTCAGGGGTTCTTCCTGGGAAATCCCAGGATGTTGAACAGACATTCCCAGATATACTGCCTGGTGCCCCCTTTCACTTGCCCAGCCATGGGCCTCGCCTAGCACCCAAACCATAGGGGACATGCCTATCACATTTGCCTCCTGAGTGTGCTTTGGGCTTTTTAATGCATCTTCACAATCGCTCTTTGATTTGAACCTTGCAGCCAGCACACAAGGCCAGTCAGGAAGACGATAGTGCATTGGTCAGAGGAAAGCAGAAATGGAAGCCCAGAGAAGTCAAGCCATACGCCCAAGGACACACAGCTAGGACTGGAAGCTAACTAACATTTGTCCAAGCCGAGTGCCTCTTTGCTAAACACAGAGATAAATTCTCTCACTCTAAACACTTCTGAGAAGGGGCTTGCCTTGTAGGGTGCCAATGTCACCTAAGAGTGAAAGAAGAGCCCAGGGGTTAATGTGGTCGAGGGGTTACCAAGGGCCTACAAATGGTAGTCCTAGTTGACACTGATTTCCATTTTAATAGGTTGACAGAAATAAATCATCGGTGAACCACAGTGCTTGGGACTTTTGAGATCTCTACTTAACAATCCGAAGAAGTATATTTTATTATTCCCATTTTACTGGTTAGGGACATTAAATAAAGGTCTAAGGTCACAGAGTTAACTGATAAAAGAGCCAAGATTTGAGTCCAAGTCCAAAATCTCACTTTCTCTCTTCCCATGCAACCTCTGCTGACCTTCATGCTTTCCTGCCCGTGGGCAGTGCCAGAAGGCACGGGTTGTCCTGGGAAGTGGTTGTGGTCCTGGGGCCACTGAGGAGGACATCCCTGTTCTAATCTGATTCATTACTCCTTCCTGGCCAGCTCTGGGAGGCTGAGGGGTGACAGACCCTGAGGCAAGAGGTGGGAGAAGGCAGTGTGCACATCCGCCCATCATGGACGGCACTCACGACTGCTAGTGTGAGCAAGGAAGGATTCTTACAGAGCTCAGCCCAAAACATGCCATGTCCCTTTGGTCCTATGAGCAGAGGGCCTCTCAAAGGGCTCTCACAAGTGTCCCCTAGTACTGTCCACAAAGGGACTGGAGTCTTGCCACCTCCCATATCCTCACTGCCCTGGGGAGCTACTAGCCGAGCAGATGGACATTTTGGTCCCCCTCATCTTCTGTACTCCTCCCTTTCCCTTCCCCTTCCCCCGACCCCTACCCTTTCCCTTTTCTTCCCCTTCTACTCTCTCCTCCCTGCCTTATCCCTCTCCCCTTCCCCCTGTGGCCTGAGGGTGCAACTGTCTCTTTCTCCCTTTCTTTCAGCATTGATATTTTCAACATCACCACGCATGTCCTTGAGTCTGCTGTTAACAAGAGCCTTCCAGAGAATAGCGACTGCCCAGACGTGGAGTGGCTGAGCTGGCTCAATGCCATCCAGGCCCCCTTCCTCTGGGTCCTCTTCCTGCTGGCTGCACTGGAGAACATCTTTGTCCTCAGTGTGTTCTGCCTGCACAAGAACAACTGCACCGTCGCAGAGATCTACCTGGGCAACCTGGCAGCTGCGGATCTCATTCTGGCCTGTGGATTGCCCTTCTGGGCCATCACCATCGCCAATAACTTCGACTGGCTGTTTGGAGAGGTGCTGTGCCGCGTGGTAAACACATTGATCTACATGAACCTCTATAGCAGCATCTGCTTCCTGATGCTTGTGAGTATTGACCGCTACCTGGCACTAGTGAAGACCATGTCCGTGGGCCGGATGCGCGGGGTGCGCTGGGCCAAAATCTACAGCCTGGTGATCTGGGGCTGTACGCTGCTTCTGAGCTCACCCATGCTGATGTTCAGGACCCTGATGAAGTACAACGAAGAGGGCTTCAACGTCACTGCCTGCGCCATCGACTACCCGTCCCCCTACTGGGAGGTATTCACCAATGGGCTGTTGAACCTGGTGGGCTTCCTGCTGCCCCTAACCATCATCACCTTCTGCACGGTGAAGATCATGCAGGTGTTGAGGAACAACGAGATGAAGAAGTTCAAGGAGATCCAAACAGAAAGGAAGGCCACTGTGCTCGTGCTGGTTGTCCTGGGGCTCTTTGTGATATGCTGGCTTCCCTTCCAGATCAGCACCTTCCTGGACACACTGAGTCGTCTCAACGTGCTGTCTGGATGCTGGGTCCGGCAGGCCGTGGACGTCATTACACAGATCAGTTCCTACATGGCCTACAGCAACAGCTGCCTCAACCCTCTGGTGTACGTGATTGTGGGCAAGCGCTTCCGGAAGAAGTCCCGGGAGGTGTACCAAGCGATGTGCCGGAAGGGGGGCTGCATGGGAGAATCCATCCAGATGGAGAACTCCCTGGGGACTCTGAAGACTTCTATCTCAGTGGAACGCCAGATCCACAAGCTGCAGGATTGGTCAGGGAACAACAGACAGTGAACAGAGGCCACCAGGAAGGACTACCTCGAAGACGTGTGAAGACTGGTGGATCCTGGACTACTCAGCCTGGGTGCGGGAAGGAGCCTGAAGCATCCTAGCAGCCCCAGGGAAACAGGCGGGTGATTCCAGACCCGTCTCATGGCCTGAGCGTGCTGTGAAGAATGGATCCCCTGGAGCACAGTGGGATGATTCTGACTGACTGGCACTCTGAGGCCCCGTGAGTGGAGGGATCCTGGGGTAGGGTTGGAAGTGACATCACTTCCTTCCCACGGTGGCTCGGGGAAGGACAGATCTTCAGGGAAACTGCTGCCAGGTTCATCCTATGGCTACACTCACAGGAGGCCCGGCTGGCTTGCTTCTAGGTTTCACAGTTTGATCATTTCCTGGTTTTCTGGAGGTCAAACTCCGAGGAGTCCCAAGTAAGGACCCAGAGATTGGGGTTCTATCACTCCTCTCACCATGGGGAAGGTAGACAGTAAGAAAGAACCCCCCAAAGTGTTTATGGAGCACTTGCTGAATACACAGCATTAGACACTGTGGGCAAGAGATAAGAGAGTCACAGTGACATCCGTCTAAAGGGAGCCCTGATGTAAGTAGGATGCCAGGACTTGCAGTCCCCAGGAGGCAGCTGATGGTGTATAAACTCAAGGAACTGTGAAAGGAGCAGAAAGCACAGGGTCTAAGTGAGCCGGTGGACAACACAGTGGCCTGGCCCTGGCCTCTGCTTCTTCTGCTAGAATGTGAGAGGGTCTTGTGCTTTGGCAAATGGCGGGTGTCATGTGACTGTGTGGGATCAGAACACACATCACGTGAAGATGCTTGGCACAGAGACAGTCACCGCGGCTCAGGAACTACCCAATGGGGAATAATCAGTGTTGGAAAACACAGGCTATGCCTGCAGGTGTAGGAGGCCCTCCCTCCTACCTTTCCCTCCTAGTTAGTGACCCACCCCAATGCACACACAATAAAGTGTTATGCCTGCCCGAATTCCAGAACCCAAATCACCACCACAAGACCACCTCCGATGTAAAAACAAGGAGTCTTTATTCATGAGTTAACTCGGTTCCCTCCATCCATCCGAAGCAGCAACAACAACAGCAGTATCGACAGCAACAGTGTAGAAGAGACCCGGAGCCAGTTTGGATGCTCACCTTACGAGACCTGGATGGAGGAGGGTGGTCCTTGGACTTCCCACAGGGCAGAGAACCCTGATTGCTCTTTGGGCTGACGAGGGAGGGGGACTTGATTGGGGGAGGGGGAGGGAAAGGGGAGGCGGAGGTGGGGAAGAGACAGAAATCTTTAATAAATTAAAAAAGAGAGAGAGAGAGAGAGAAACCCGGAGCAGCAGAAAAAAAAAATGGAGTTTATATAGGGACAGAGGCTCTGGGAATTCCAAGCCTCGGGGCTTGGGATTGGCTGCCCCCTAGTGGCTTGAAGGGGGCATTCCAGACTTCCAGGCTTGGGATTGGCTGCCCTCCCAATATTGTAGGGGGTGCTTTCCAGGACTAAGGGAACTTCCCAAACTGCCAGTAACTGCCTGAGGCTCTGATTGATCCGTTTTCCCTGCCCAGGGATTGGCTGGTTTTGAGTAAGGGGCAGAAATGGCTCCGCTCTTGGGTCCAAGCTGTGTTTCTTTCTCTGGTTCTTTCTACCTTTTTAAACCTAATCTTGGGGCCAAGGTAAATATCTTTGATATGCCCTAAATCTAGGAACCTAGTGCATTCTTTTGGTCCTAGTTTCAGGATTTAGGGGTTTTTTTTTCCGGCTCTAGGTTTGGGGACAAAATGTCTCTTCCCTTGGCTCTCGTCCTGTTTTTAGGTTGTGTTTCTTTCTCTGGGTTGGGGCTTGGAGCCTAGCCATTCGAGGTCTGTGTGGGGGCTGCGGATCAGAGATTTTCTAGTTCTGGGTCTCTCAAAAGCATTTGGCACACAGAGATGGCGGGAGACTGCAAGAGTTTGTGTTGCTAGGAGACAAAGAAAAAGAATTCTCGCGGGATCAGCCCAGGGAATCCACAGTACACAGCCTGGCTGCAATCAGTAACTGTCCAGGGCGGTCCTGCCTCACAGGATCCCTGTTTCAGTGGACAAGGGGTGCCAATCAGTGGGTTAAGAGTGGCTCACAAAGTAGTGGAAGCTACGTACGTAAAGGCAGCTGACCTACCCTAGGTCACTAATCCCAGGGCGATGATTCCAGGCCCAACTCCCTACATGGCCACAGATTGCCTCATGAGTGATGGCAGGGGCGGCCTGAGCTACCTGGAAACTCTGACTTGAGAAACACCCCCTGGGGCGAGGACAACACACCTGCTCCTTGAACAAGTCTTCTACTGGAGATGGGAGAACTGCCCCAGACAGCTTCAGGGTCACTGGATTCCCCGTGAGAACCTACTCCAAGAGCCATGTGTGGGCTCAGTTGTCAGACTCCATACTCCTAGTTCCAGAATCTTCCACAGGAGTTTATTTTTCCACACATATATATCAGTGACTTTTCTCGTGGCTGTGACAAATTATCTGTCAGAAGCAGCTTATGAAAGAGAAAAGGTTTGCTTCACCTCACAGTGTCAAAAAGGTTTCCGTCCACTGTAGTAGGGATGGTATGGTTACTAGGGCATGCAACAGAGGCGTCTTACATCGGAGGGACCAGTAAACAGACACAAGCGAGACCAGGGGCAGGATATGACCTTCAATGGCTTGACCCTAGTGGGTGACTTGCACCAACTAGATCTGATTCCCTAAAGGTTTCATAGCTTCCCCATATAGGGAATAAAATCTCAAAACATGAGCGGAGGAGCGGGAGGAATTTCAGACTCAAACTATAACAATGGCGTTACAGACTGGCCCCTGTGACTAACAGTACTCCAAGTTCCCGGGGAGATATGCGGAACTGACCACACAGTCCCCAACACTAAGCCACTTAGGACCTGGCTACTCAATAGCCCAGGAACTGGAGACTCGGGAAGCGAACAGAGTTCAGTGGTGTTTCTGGCTAGGTTGGAGTCAGGGGTGTGGAAGAAAGGGGCCAGCAAAAGAAACCCACGCTGGCTGCAATGCTTACAAAGGGAGCGCTTTACTTGGCAAAAACAACACAACAACAACAAAACACCTTGAACCCCGACAGAGAAGACCTGGGGCAATCCCTTTTCCACCCCTCCCCTTGCCCCCCAGTAAACTTAACACTTGTAGCCAGGAAAGGAAAACAGGTGATGTAAGAAGCGGATGCTAGGATTCTGTGCTAGAATGGAACCCAGCCATGGCCATACTATAACATACTATAAATGATAAGCAGGGCCCAGTCCTCAGAAGAGACGTTGGTGGGCTGTGGGCTCCAGGAACACAGCCTGGCCTCCTCGGGGTGGCTGAAGGGTCTCCACCTGGGTCTCTGCTGGAGGAAAGCCCCCTGTATGCTTGTGTGGACAGCCTGGTGAGAAGTCGTGTCCTGTGAGAGCGTGTGCAGAGGAAGTGATGGGGCTCCCGATGAGAAGGGAGGCTCCGCGTAAACACTCACCTCTTCTGCGCACTGGAATAAACAGATGAGTTCTGCATAGCGTTTGACTGTGTCACACTTCCTGAAGCCCTGAGCCCTGACCTGGGATCCTGACTCCGGCAGTTGAAAGTCTCAGGAGATGCGGAGCACAGTCTCTTCCTGAGGCTTCTGTCGTGGAGAAGATCAGTGGTCTCCAAGTGTGTCCCTTATGAGTTAGGAGTGGGGGAAGCATGACTCACAACACACAATTTGTACACTTATTAATATGCATTGAAATATGCACATTTAAATATATTAAACAAATCGTATTATAATTTTTCAGAAAATGTTGTTTTGGTGTTTTCCTCCATGCTGTTTCCTCCACAGACAGCTCGTTACCGAACCCCTTTTCGATGTCATAGTATAGAGTGCCAGGGATGGCCAAGTCCAATCATCCATTTCCATGAAATACTTACATTTGACCCTTACCTCAAATCAAGAGCATCCCACATGGTATCAACATGAAAGCCGCTGCTTGTGTATGAGATGGGGATCTCCGTACATTCCATTCAGGTCCACCTCCACTCTCCATGTCTTCCTTCATCCACTCGTTCATCCACCAAAACTTCATCCTGTGAGTCCACAAACAGTGCTGCCCAGTCTGTTCATTCCAGAAACCTAGGGCTCGGTGTTCACTGCACCCCACTTTCTTCATCCCCGAATAGATAAGCATTCCTTTCCGGTTCTGCCCCCTTGTGTCTCCTGAGTCTTTCTGGGACCAATCATCATGCCTTACTGCTTCTCACCTCTGACATCAGCCATCTCCCTAATTCTCATTCTTCATTCGTAGGATCAGTTCTCGGGGGCTCAGGTTTCAGAGTCAGGGAGATGTGGAGTCGATTCTGGTTCTGCCCTGGGCTCCCGTTTGATGTTCATCCATGTTATGGCAGCTTTGAAATTGGAATGAGCAACAGCATCAATCAAGTCAGAGAACTGCCAACAGGGCTCATGTGGGAGAGTGTTTAGAACAGAGCCTGGTACATTCTTGACAGAACATATGTCATCTGTGATGGTAATAACGGCAGTGACGGTGTTCATAATGGTGGCGATGGTGGCGATGATGGTGGTAGTGGCAGGGATGATGGCTGGTGATGACGCGGTTACAGAGGTTGGTGGTTATGGTGGGGATGGTGATGATGCTACTCTCCACAAGGTAACCTTTTATATGCCCCACCCCTCGTAGGATAAAGCTACATGTTCACATAAATGGCTTGCAAGACCCTTGATAATCTGGCCCCTGTCTGTCCTGCTGGCTCCGTCTATTCTATCCTGCTCATTCTCTACCCTCCGGCTACACAGGACTCAAATGTCCGGGCAGATATCAGGAGACATTGAGACATTCCACTTCTCAGGTGACATTCCTTTTATCAGCCTACAGTCCACACTCTGTACCCTGCCTCTGAAGTGCCCGAGGGAGACTCCTGCCCCAGAGGATAAACATGTAGGCATGACAAACCACTGTGCAGAGCACAATAAGTGTATGATCCTAGAGAAGCCAGGGACTGGAACCACAATCTCAGCAGTCAGAACTAGATGTGGCACTGTCTACTCTTCTCCCACTACATAGGCCCCTCTCTTGACTCCGGGAAGATCCGTGCGGAGAGTTCCTGGTCGGCCTCAGGAAATCAGTCAATTCTGCACCTATCTTCCCTGGCCAGGGCAGTCAGGGGCGAGTGAAAAAAAGATATTGCCTACGTGCCATAGGAACTCACGCTAGCTCATGATAATGGCTAGCAGATAATGGCTCACTGATGTAGGAAGCCAAAAAAGCCCAGGCTTCATAGTTCAGATGTGAAGGCTCTGCTTCATAGAACTCGGCAGTGCACGCCTCTTTGCTACCCAGTCTCTGACCTCACTTGCCAAGCCTCACACAGCCCTGATCCCTCATCCGGGTCCAGGGAGGATGTGGAGGGCCAGGGATGAGCAACAGTGGTCAGAGTTGGCAATAACAATGGCTGAGAGCTTAAGTCTGTGGGTTTTGGCTGAGTCCAGGCCTAGGCCAAGCAGGCCCATGGAGTGTTTGACACAGAGCTAAGAACTAAGGGCTTTATCCTCGCCACACCAGACCTCACCCCTCTCCATGGAAGTCAGAAAGATCAGGAACTTAGGGGATCCTCAGTTCTTAAGGAGCATATTAGTGAGCCCCAAAGACTCTGAGGTGTACAGAACTTAACCAACAAGAACTACAAAGTACCACAGAAATGACCTCCAGGGAGCTTCTCCCACGAATTGCTTCTGCACCAGGGTCTGGACTGCTCTCACCAGAGTACACAAACTGTCTTGGGGCCCTCATGAGTACAATTGTTCCTCCTAGACATTTTCAACCTTATGAATGCACTGGGCTTCCACTGTCCCATCAAAAACTTTTCCCAGGCTGGTGATAAATTTAAGTCTCTCTCTGCACTGGGCAGAGACACCATGCCCGGGGTCAGCTCCAGAGTCACAGTCGGGGGGGGCGGGGGAAGCACACTAGAGAGCCGTGCCACCTGGCTGAGACATTGGGCAGCACCAGTGCAGCACTAACTGTTCGTTCCTACTGTTTTCAACTCATGATGTGTTTAGTGAGATGACGCTGATGCACTCATATAAATTGTGTTGGGATGTAATCCGTATGCCCGCACTTCCCCCATTTCAGCTTTTAGTTCTTTACAGAATTGCACAACCATCACCATGATTTAATTCCAGAATATCCGCATCATCCCAGAGTGAGATCCCAGACCCATTAGCTGTCACCTCTGATTCCTTTCCTCCCACAGCTTCTGGTAGCCACTCATCTCTGTCTCTCCTGCCTCTCTCCAACATTTCATACCGGCACACTCACGTGTGAGTACCGATGGTGTCTGGCTTCTCTCATCTGCTTCCCACCGAGATGCGACAGTTGTAGGAGCAGTCCCCGTGTGAGCTGAGATAGCCGCTTCACTCTTCCCTCCCCTGACTTTGATCTCAGTTTCTCTGTCTGTAATATGGAAAATTAATTCTCTAAGCAAGAACATCTCCAGGAGAGGTTGTGACTCCAAACAGGGGGAGAGTCCAGATGGTGTCAGCAAGACAAAAGCTGTGCAGCCGGGAGCCAGGCTCCTGGGTCACACCTCGGCTCACCACTTCATGGCTGGAGGAAGTTGGGTTAGGTGCATTAGCTCCTCTGTTTGTGTTTTCTCATCTAGAACTGTAAGGAGCCGGGTGTTGTGACAAGGGGGTGAGGTCACTGTCACAGGGGGATCACAGTGCATCTCCCAGGAATGCACATGTCCGTGTGGAATGAAGGCCACAGTATGGGCCTATTGAGAACAGCGTCTTGGCAGAAGGGGTTAAAGTGAGGTTATACTGGAGCAGAAAGAAAGGAGGGCCCAGGGTCAAAGAGAAGGAGGTGACACATACTAGAATGACATGCCAGGAGCCTGAGAGAGCAGGGTGGCCATAGCCACAAGGACCTGAAGAAGCAAGGAAGAGTCCCCTCGGGACTTCCAGCAGCCACAGTCCCAACACCTCCTCTCCAGCAGGAAGGAAAGCATCCTGAAAAAGAATAGCACAGCCTGGCCTATTGAGGTTTGCAGATTTTACCAAGCAGAAGAGACTGGAGCCTTTCCCAAGGTCACATAGAGTGTCAGAGGCCAAGCCAGGCTCCCAGATCCAGGAGCATAGGTCCGGTCCCACTGGGTTTGTATACCCACCTCTGCAAATCCAGAACCTGTTCTACCCAGCTTCTTTCCTTCCCCCACCCCAAGGGCAGGTGTCTTCAACCAGGTTAAAGAGAAGATGAACGCTCCACCTCCCAACTTGCGGCTCATGCAGCCACCAAGCCCCTAGGGAAATGCTGTTATTTTACAGACAATGCTAACACACAAGAGAAGTGGGGTTCTGAGCCTCCTAGGGGTGCTGCCTTTCCACAGTGCCGTCCATGTGGCCTCCCCAGTGGGACATTTGTTCTTCTAGGACATGCTGGATGGTTTTGTGTCAACTTGACACAAGCTAAAGTCATCTGAGAGGAGGGAGCCTCAATGAGAAAATACCTTCATAAGATTGAGTTGTAGGCGAGCCTGTAAGGCATTTTCTTAATTGGTGATTGATAGAGGAGGAGGGCTCAGCCCATGGTGGGTGGTGCCATCCTTGGGCTGGTGGTCCTGAGTTCTATAAGAAGGCAAACTGAGTAGGCCATGAGGAACAAGCCAGTAAGCAGCGCGCACACGCACACACACACACACACACACACACACACACACACACACACCAAGGCCTCTGCATCAGCTCCCACCTCCAGATTCCTGCACTGTTCCTGGCTTCCTTTGATGATGAACAGATATATGGGAATGTAAGCTGAATAAACCCTTTCCTCCCCAACTTGCTTTTGTTCATGGTGTTTCATTATAGTAATAGTAACCCTAACTAAGACGGTAGAGGACAGCCACGACTCCCCCTGAGCTGACAGGACCACAGTCATGTGCAACAGCAGAACGAGGAAACTGAAGTCACCTCTGCTGGGAGCTCCCACTCAGCTGCCTCCCTGGGGCACGGCCTGCAGTTCTGATGGCAACCGAGGATCCCGGCTCGGGCAGACAGCATGGAAAACAAATCCAACTGCCCTGCTTGGCCTCCCAGAGCGAGGCATGAGGTCCTGGGAAAGTGATTCTAGGTCTCATACCTACTTCCCTGACATTCATTGGGGCTGGCTTCCAGGTTCAGAGTCCATTATCATCATGGCGAGAATCCTGGCAGCAAGCTTGCAGACAGGATGCTGGAGAGAAGCTAGAGTCCTACATCTTGATCCACAGGCAACAAGAAATGAACTGTCTCACTGGATGTAGCTTGAACAAGGGAGACCTCAAAGCCCACCTCTACAGTGGCACCCTTCCTCCAACAAAGCCACACCTCCTAATAGTGCCACTCCCTTTGGCATAGTTTCTTTCAAACCACCACAACCACCAACCCTGAACAAAGGTGAGAGCTGGGCTCTGAGGAGGACAGGGCCTCTCACTTCAAAAGGAGCCCACCCCACTGTGGGTGGTTTGTTTGTTTTTCTCTCCATCACCTTCTCATTGGATGGGGGTAGTGACACTGTGTGGTGGGGTGGAAGAGCTCCTGTGGTGCCTGTCTGTTGTACCAAGTGATGGAGAATCCACTAGGCAGGGACAGTAAGGAGAGCAGCAACTAGAGAACTGAGAATTGGCCTCCTGCATCTCAGATGTCAAGACTGACATTCTGGGAAGTGTCTTCGTGAATGGCCCAGGCTCTGTGTCTTAAACAGCAGCGATGCCCAGCTAGCCCAAGGGCCTATCTCTGTTCATCAACTGGTCAGGTTCTCCTCTAGATTCTGACTTCTCCACATTTTTCACCCAGAGGACTAACTCAACAACAAAGAGAACTCAACCAGTCAGTGGGGATGAGCCAGCCCTGACTACACGTGTGGGAGTTACAGATGGAGCCCACTCAAAAAAGGCCAGAAGACCCTCTTGGAGGGTCCATTCATTTCTTATGCCTATTTGGTATTCCTCTCCCACCATATATTACCCCAAAGACAAAAGGATCCCCTGCTCTTTTGACCCTAAGCCAGCTTTCCACCTCAGTGAGAATAAACCTATTTTCAAAAACTTTCCATCCTACCCAGAGTGGTCCAGGGCCTGAACCAGATACCTCAGACTCATTCCCCAAAGCCCTGCTTCATCAGCCTCCACAGTTGTTGTGGGTATGGTCCCACCCCAACCTGACCTTCTGTCCTTGGCTGCTCTCATTCCTGTGGGCAGAGGAGCTGAGATAAGGCCCTCCCTCCTCCCATCAGAACTAGTCAAGGGCTCTGCTGAGAGCAGGTCAGTGCTGGGCAGGGAGACATGACCTCAGGACAGATACTTCTCAGCCACGGTCCAGTCAAGATTCTAGGGAATCAAGGGAGAGCCAGCGCTAGTTAGCAAGGCCTGGCTACACTGCCAAATAGAAAATCCCACTGCTTGTGCTTTCTTCTGTCTAGCCAGTCCTAGGAGAATACAAAGCACCCGCAGAAATCCAACTGTCTCCCAATGCCCCACCTCTGGGGAGAGGTGTGGCCAGAGGGGGAGGCAGTGAACTTCTCACAGATTCTAATGCTCCCTCTTTTATCTTTTCCTTTGTGTTTCCAAGATTTCACAGCCCCTAGCACCAAAAGAAAACATCTGGAAATGTTGCTAGGGGTCGTGAAATCATGGAAGCAGAAAGAAAAAAAATAATAATAAAAGAGGGAGAGAGGCGAGATGCCAGAGACAGCAGGAGCATCTTTATCTGAATGAGCGGGACTCACCTCTAGAAACAGAGTTCCAGCCACAAACCTGGGCAGTTTCCAGCAGGAAGGCAGAGCGAGACAGCCAGGGGAATGAAGAGAGAAGAGAGGCCAGGGGCTGGAGGAGCCTGGTGCCCAGCTCTCAAAACACACCAGGAATTCCTGCCTCTCTGAATGTCAGGCCTCGGGTAGCTGGACTTCGTGGACGCCAGCTCACACCAAAACCAAACCCAGAGCCGCCAGCCAGGATTAGGAAAAGCTTGACTGGTCTTACTCAACTCCAAGCCCTGCGTGAGTCAAACTTTTTCCTGAGCTCACTGTTTGTACAACGAGGCCCACACTGATGCATTCTTGGCTATGTGTCTTTCACTACTCATATTCAAGAGAGGATGTCCTAGTGTAGCCAAATCCCAGACCTCCTGGAGCCAATGGGGAAGCCATCACTCAATATACCGACAGGGGGGAGCTTTGGGTGTCTGTGGGACCTATTTGGCAACACACAGTTGTTAGGCAAAATCAAATGTCAGCGAAGAAAGTGCCAGGTTGTTGAAGGACCTCCTACTAACCCTAAGTGCCGAGAGAAATGCGATGTCACACCTCCCTCCAGCCCATAGCCTCCGCTGGCTTGAGACTCACTTTTTGGGTAATCCCCTGTGACATCATGAGAACAGAGGTGGTTTCATTTAAGACCAGCGTATGTCCAGAGAGCTGACCAGTACAGAGACCTCCCAAGACAGCCATCACCATCAAAAACCCAGTCGAAGCTGCGAGCTTTTCCGTTTTCTGTCAGGGTAAGTCATAGTCATTTGTTTTCCTTTTAGGACCGTTAAATGCAATCATAGACCATGACTCTTAGCAAAAGACAATAAACAAAACAAGCCCTCGTCTACATATGTGATAGTCGAACAGACAGGCTACAAGCGTTCATTTTAAACAGAATTGGTATCCTATGTCTGGGATTTGTATCCTATGTTTGGGTTTGTTTCTGGTTTGAAGGGAAAGCTTTTTGTGGTTTTGAGACAGGGTCTCTCTATGTAGCCCAATACTGCTTCGGGCTCTCCAATTCTGGGTTTGCAGGTGTGAGCCACAATACTCAGCTTCTGGTTTGGGGTTTAATTGTGTGTGTGTGTGTGTGTGTGTGTGTGTGTGTGCGCGCGTGCGTGTTGAGACAGGTCTCTCTGTGCAGCCCTGGCTGTTCTGGAGCTCAATATGTAGCCCAAGCTGGCCTTGAACCCTCCAAGATTCTGTCTCTGCTAGTGGAATGCTCGGATTAAAGGCGTGCGCAACCATACCTTGTCCCCTCTTCTTAAAAGGTTTTTTTTTTTTGCCTTTATTTTGATTTTCTGATTGGGAGTTTTGCCTGCATGTATGTATGTCCAGCACATGCATGCAGTGCCTGTCGAGAATGGAAAAGGATGTCGGATCCTCTAGGTCTGGAGTTACAGATGGTTATGAGCTGCCATAGGATTGCTGGGACTCAAACTCCGGTCCTCTGGAAGAGCAGCAGTCAGTGCTTGTCTTAGGGTTTCTACTGCTGCGACAAAACACCTTGACCAATAAGCAAGCTGGGGAGGAAAGGGTTTATTTGGCTTATATTTCCACAGCATAGTCCATCACTGAAGGAAGTCAGAACAGAAACTCCAACGGGGCAGGAAACTGAGGCAGGAGCTGACACAGGGGCCAAGGAGGGATGCTGCTTACAGACTTGCTCCTCCTGCTTTCTTATAGAGCCCAGGACCACCATTCCAAGGATGGCACCACCCACCATGACTGGGCCCTCCCGCATTGATCACTAATTGAGAAAATGCCCTACAGCTGGATCTCATGGCGGTATTTCCTCAACTGAGGCTCCTTCCTCTTGACTCTAGCTTGTGTCAAGTTGACAGACAAACCAGCCAGTACCGTGTTTTTAGTCAATGGGCCTTTCCTCCAGCCTCTACTGTTTCCTCTTTTAGACTAGGCCAGTCCTCTCCTCCTCTACAGAAACAAACAATAAATACTGTCAGTTTTGCAGACCAGACAGCCTGGGCTGCACCACTCTCCTCTGCTACCATAGCAAGAAAGTAGTCAAAGGTGCAGTTACATAAGCAGTGCAGTGCGTATGGGCTGTGTGCCAATAAAACTTTATTGTCTGGAGCAGACCACAGGCTGGGTGTGATCTCCTGCACTCTTTACTCTGTCGGTTTCAGGTCACTGTGGATGGCGTCCCAGGCCTTATTGGAGCTGCAGCCCACTAACCAAAGCCAGCAGGCGTCTCCCAACATCACCTCCTGCAAGGATGCTCCAGAAGCCTGGGACCTGCTGTACAGGGTGCTGCCAGGATTTGTCATCACCATCTGTTTCTTTGGCCTTCTGGGGAACCTTTCAGTACTGTCCTTCTTCCTCATGCCTCGGCATCGGCGGAGACAACACCGCTTGACCGTCGCCGAAATCTACCTGGCTAACTTGGCAGCTTCTGATCTGGTGTTCGTCCTGGGCCTACCCTTCTGGGCAGAGAACATCTGGAACCGTTTCAACTGGCCCTTTGGCACTGAACTCTGTCGGGTGGTCAACGGGATCATCAAGGCCCATCTGTTCATCAGTATCTTTCTGGTGGTGGCCATCAGTCAGGACCGCTACCGGTCCCTGGTATATCCCATGACCAGCCGAGGGTCCCGGCGGCGGCGGCAAGCCCGAACCACCTGTCTGCTCATCTGGGTAGCAGGGGGCCTCTTGAGCATCCCCACGTTCCTACTACGTTCCGTCAGAGTTGTCCCCGACTTGAACATCTCTGCCTGCATCCTGCTTTTCCCCCACGACGCCTGGCATTTTGCAAGGATGGTGGAGTTGAACATTTTGGGTTTCTTCCTCCCATTGAGTGCCATCATCTTCTTCAACTATCACATCCTGGCATCCCTGAGAGGGCAGAAGGAGGCCAGCAGAACGAGGTGTGGGGGTCCCAAGGGCAGCAAGACGACGGGGCTGATCTTCACTCTGGTGGTCTCCTTCCTGGTCTGCTGGGCTCCCTACCACTTCTTTGCCTTCCTGGATTTCCTGGTCCAGGTGAAGGTAGTCCAGGACTGCTCCTGGAAGGAATTCACGGACCTGGGCCTGCAGCTGGCCAACTTCTTTGCTTTCATCAACAGCTGCCTGAACCCACTGATTTATGTCTTTGTGGGCCGGCTTTTAAAGACCAGGGTCTGGAAGCATTATAAGAGATGCAGCCCTGGAAGCCTCGTGTCCATATCCCCCAATAGGAAAGAACTCTTTCAGCTGTTCTGGCAGAACTGAAACAGCAGCCAGCCACGAAGCCTAGCTTCTAGACCTCTGATACCATACAGACCATATTGTCGGCTGACCCACCGTGGCCTACAAAGATGCCCGGGGAATGCTACTAACAGGGTAGCAGGGACCTTGCAGATATGATTAAGCTAAGGATCTGGAGATGAAGCTGATCCTGAAGTATTTGGGGCAGGGGGAACAAAATAATCACGGGGTTCCTTTTAAGCAGAGACTTCAGAGGGCTGGACTATGTGCAGACTGAAGCAGAGGTCAGAGTGATGAGGAAGGGGCTGTGAACGCCCTTAAAGGATGGAGAAGAAAGAATACAGACACATGTTCTCTCTGCAACCTCTAGAAAGCAGCGCCCCGCCAACCTGCCGACTTTAACCCTGCCCCCCCCCACGACTGTGAAAGAAGAAAACTGTGAGAGAATAAAGTTGTGTTCTCATTTGCCAAGTTTGTGATTACTGCCATAGCAACCACAGAAAACTTAGAGAAGCACCCAGCAAGGGTCCCTCTTGACACTCCCACTCACCCAGGCCTTCCAGGGCTGACTCTGAGGAAAGCAGGGGTGGAGTAGCTGCAGACCCTACACACAGGAGCTTGCAGAGGTCTAAATAACCCTAAGTCCGAATGGGAAGCTCCACAGGCTACAGATCCAGCAGCTCCAGGGAAGGAAGGGTCCTTTCCTCACCACAGGTCCGTGCAGGGTGGACTCTGGGGGCTGTGGAAACAGACAGGAAGGGTTGGGTGCTCACCCAGCCCTTGCAGTGGGAAGGCACAGGCCGTTGCCTAGAGATCACGTGAACATTGCTGAATGCTGGAGCCTTCATCGATCTCTCCTTGGCTTCAAGGATCCAGGAGGGACCCTCCCAGAGAACTCTAGATGACACACAAGAGAGCGTCACAGGACAGAAGAACTGCCTATCCAGGTGACAGGGTGGGTCTGAGAACACAGGACAGTGGCCACTGGCTGGCACAGGTAGAGTATTATGGGACACATAGCCTGGCTTTTAAAAAACTAGCAGTTGGCCGGGCGGTGGTGGCACATGCCTTTAATCCCAGCACTCGGGAGGCAGAGGCAGGCGGATCTCTGTGAGTCTGAGACCAGCCTGGTCTACAGAGCTAGTTCCAGGACAGGCTCCAAAACCACAGAGAAACCCTGTCTCGAAAAACAAAACAAAACAAAACAAAACAAAACAAAACAAAACAAAAAAAAACAAACTAGCAGTTGTCCAAGCAAAATAGGGAAAGGGCCAGAAAGAAGAAGCCAGCTAATCCAGAGCAGGGATTAGGAAATCCAGGGCTTTCAAATTAGGAGAGGAGTCGGGGGAAGAAGGGCAAGGAGCTCCCAGAGGCAGGAGTTGGAGGAGAAAAGACATGGCGAGTGAGTATTTGATGTCCTCCCACAGTGCTCACAAAACAGAGGGGTGTTCTGGGAATGAATCTACGGAGCATGCATTTGTGGTGACAATTTACTCACTGAGGCTTGGCAAGCCCTGGAAGGCAGTCAGGTTGTGCTGGGGCTGGATTTCAGCAGATAGACCATCATGATTCTGGGAGGCTGAGGGTATCCGTCAGCCTGTGGGGAATGGCTGAGGGGTGGAAGGAAGGAAGCCTAGGTGGTGTAGTAGTCAGCTCTCCCTCACTATGACATAACACCAAAGCATGTCGACATAACAAGGGGGCAGGTTTATCTCAGCTCACAGCTTTGGAGGTTTCCATCTGTGGTTGGCCTTGCTGCTGTGGGTTAGGGGCAGCACAGAGCATCTTGGCAGGAGAGCATGGTGCAAGAGGTACATACATGCATACTTCATGATGACTGGGACACAGAGGAAGACGAGAGAAGCTGGGGTCCCAATATCTCCTCTAAGGGAATGTCCCCCATGACCTAACCTCCAAAATACCCAACTACTTCCCAGGAGCATCACAGACTGGCCAAGCCTTTACCACGTGGGCCTTTGGGGGACACTTGAGATCCCCCAAAACAGGAGGTGGAGGAGAATGATATTGGAACAGGAAAAGGCTAGTGGCTGGGGAGCACCTCGACCAGAGTACAAAGATGTCCTCAAATATCCCAGCGGGAGAGTCATCCCACGGATGACAAGGACAAGCATGGCTGTGGCACAGGGGCCCAAGGAGGGGAGGGTGGAGGACAGTGAAGGTGATAAGGGATAAGGACTCAAGGAATTGTACAGGCAGGGTGGGTTGCCCGCCAGACCCACCATCAGGGAAGACCCTACAAGGCCTAAGGAAGAGAGAGTTGTAGAGCCAAGTGCCAAGGTCCAGCAATGGGGAAGTCACAATGACCAGACATTCAGGATGCGTGGGAGGTGAGGATGGACCCTGTCACTCCTGCATGGAAGGGGTTAGTCCTCATCGAACAACTCAGATGCAAATTCACTCAAAAACTAAAACATACCCCTGGAGCCTGGGACCACAGGTCTGCCAGGCTGGCCTACCAGAATCTTGGTGATAACGCTACGGTCACCGGTCAGCTCAATATTTCCTGGAGAGTGTAGTATGGTCAGACATAAGAACAGGATCCAGCCTGCCTATGTGTCCACTTTGGACCCTATAGATTTAAACAATGCTCTTGAATTCATTGCCAATGTGAAATCCCACATGGCTGCAAATGTCCAGCTTGCCTACACAGCTCACACGGTGTCTTTCCAGTCAGCGCAAGGCCTAGCCTCTGGCCACTGCTGTCGGCACTGAGAACTCCTCAGTGAACAGGAGAGGGTCATTCCTGGTGCCCTCACGGATGATCCCCTGGGGCTCCCTGGGGCACAGATGCCTTGGTATTGACTGGCAGTATACTGCCAACAAGGTGTCCTCCCCCAGGTGTTGCAAGTGCCTGGTGGCTCCAGGAGACTTAGTTTACCACTTCTGGTATAGTTCAGTACCTGGGTTTACAGTCCAGGAAGCTGGACCAGTGTGCCCTGCCTGAGTGAGGTCCCACACTTTAAGCAGAGTGAGGTGGTGTGTGAGCCTCGGAAACACTGCTTGCAGGCCTGCAGGTCAGGGTGGGGTGTAGTGGGACGAGCAGCGGGCTAGCTTAACCCCTGAAATAATTACACAGAAACTGTATTCATTTAAGCACTGCCTGGCCCATTATATCTAGCCCCTTCTTGGCTAACTCTCACATCTTGCTTTAACCCATATCTAGTAATCTGTGTATCATCACGGGGTCGTGGCTTACCGGGAAGATTCTAACCTACGCCCATCTCAGGCCAGGGAATCATGGTGTCTGTCACATTGCCTTCTTCCCAGCATTCTGTTTTGTCTACTCCACCCACCTAAGGGTTGCCCTATCAAAAGGCCAAGGCAGTTTTTTTTTTATTTAACCAATGAAAGCAACACAGAAAGAAGACTCTCCTACACCAGTGGGGGTTGGGGGAGAGCCCTAGAAGAGAAGCTTTATGAAACAGACACCTGATTTATGGGGGCGGGGCCTATGAAGAAGCCTGGAGCTCAGTTCTGCCGTGGGCTGGGACAGCAGCAGGCAGCAGCTGGCAAAGCCGCACCAGAAGGCCACTGTATTCCCTTTGCCCAGCTGCAGGCAGGGGAGAGGCTGGCCTTGGTTCAGAGCCAGTGCTGGAGAAGAAATATATTCTGTCCCCACTGGTTTGGCAACAGGCTCTGCTGATAGGTTTCATACTTAGGGCTGTGCCCAGCCACACCTGGGGTGCCAATACTGGCATGGACAGTGAATTAGCCAGGGGTCCCCATATCTTCCAGGAACTCCTCCTTTCTCTTGTAGAGGGGTCAAGGCCAGAGATGAAGCTTCTTTTCCAGGGCATTGCCAGCTTCTGGACCCATCTTGCTTTTGCTGCTCTGAACAGGAAAGGAGACAGGCTCCCTGTCACATAGACCATCCCTCATCCCTCACCATGGTACTGAGAAGGGCTAGGCCCCTCCAAATCCCAGCCCTGGGGAGCTCCTACATGTTGCAATGGTCAAGGCAGGTTCTTCTTCTCTGTAGATGAGTCATGAGTTTGATGAAAAGCAGGTAGGGAGGCTCCTTCCCCCCCCCACACACAATGGCAGCTCCCACAGGCCTGGGAACCAGACCAAGGCTATGGTGATCTCTTGGTTCCAACTGAGCTTACCTCTGGTCTCTGAACACCTTCAGGTCCTTCCTACTGTCTTCCTACTAGAGTTGTTGTCCGAGTTATAGAAAGGGTTCTGGTTGTCAGGGTTACAGATGGGGTTCTGGTTGTCATGGTTACAGGCAGGGTTCTGGTTGTCAGGGCTACAGACAGGGAACTGGTTGTCAGGGTTACAGATGGGGTTCTGGTTGTCATGGTTACAGGCAGGGTTCTGGTTGTCAGGGCTACAGACAGGGTCCTGGTTGTCAGGGTTACAGATGGGGTTCTGGTTGTCAGGGTTACAGGCAGGGTTCTGGTTGTCAGGGTTATAGACGGGGTTATGGTTGTCAGGGTTACAGATGGGGTTCTGGTTGTCAGGGTTACAGACAGGGTTCTGGTTGTCAGGGTTACAGATGGAGTTCTGGTTGCCAGAGTTACAGACAGGGTCCTGGTTGTCAGGGTTACAGACAAGGCTCTGGCCCTTACAAGGAAAACTCAGTATCCTCAACAAGTCAATGTAACAACAGTACAAGTAGAAAAAGAAAATGCATTTAGTGAGGCCACAGTGAGAGGAAGGATGCAGGGCTGGTGGCTCTCCAAGGGCAAAGGCTGTGAATATCTGAGCAGTCCTGATCAAGGTGTGGTCCTGCCCATCTCTGTCTCAGCTCCAGCCTCTCCATCAAGGCAGTCTGACAAGTTGTCAGCACTGTGAGGTCTCCTAGGAGATGAATTCTCCTCCCACTGGTGCTGAGCTCCAGCCTTTTCCTTTTTCCTGCATGAATCTATCAAGGGATAAAGCCACTGATTAGATCAGAGTCCCTGGATCCAATCACCTCCCAGAAGCCCATCATATGGTAACCAGTGTCCCAACAGGCTTGTCTTTCAGCCGGTGCTGGTGGGCGGGAGGTGGCAGCCATTCTGTGACAGGCTTCTGTGGCAGCCACTCCTGATGCTCTTTTAGTTCTTGCTAGTGCTAGTGTTGGGCAATGGGAGGTGAACCTTGAACCATGGAAGGTTCAAGGTCACAGGCCCCCTGTGTTTTTTGCTACAGTCAGCTTGGAAACCCTGTGTTAAGATGGGTCATAAGGAGCTGGCCAGGCGATGGTGGCACACACCTTTACTCCCAGCACTTAGGAGGCAGAGGCAGGTGAGTGAGCTTTAGGACAACCAGGACTATTCAGAAAAACTCTGTCTCAAAAAA